ATTTTTTTGCAGCGAAATCACGTCGCGGAATTGGAAGAGGTTTATTCAAACGGATGAAATAATTTTTCTACATATTTATTTATTTTTATTTATTTACATAACTGCCTATTTACATAGACTTCTCCATCTTGAAAACTTTAATAATCCAGCCAAGCGTCAGAGAGACCACCTTCACTTCAACCGGGGCAACTGATAGTTCCAATCTGACCAAATAATTGGGCGTACATCTGGGAAGTCTGAATAGTTTTTTGAAATAATAAATTTGCGTCGTCTCGAGAATCGCAACATATTTGAGCCCCCAAAGAGGTAAACCATATAACAACGTGGCAGTGACAATACTGTCGTAAATTTTCAAATTGCTAGGGAAAGAGTCGGATTTGATTTTAGTAAGAATTTTCAGAACTGACCCACAAGCGATCCTTGCTTTCTGTGAAATCTTTTTTGCAGTTTGGGGACCAAATATTGAATTTGTGAAGTGCACACCCAAGTATTTATACTCCTTGACGAACACTATATCATCCAGACCAAATTTTATAGAAGGGTTCCTGGCTGCTCTACGGCCATTCTTGCAAAGTAACATTTGAGTTTTAGCTAAGTTGACTGTGAGCTCTTTGAGGTCCGCGTACTCTTTAAAGATATTGATATTGCGTTAGACAGTAATGTCACGTTGGCCGTCAAGAGGGATACCCCTACCCCCTCCACTAAGACAAAAATCTTCAACATCGGCAATATACAAAATAAAAAGTAGAGGGCTCAGGATCTCCCCCTGAAGGAGGCCTTCCGTAATCTCAATGCTCTCAGAGAACTCCGGTCCTTGCCTTACTCGTAGACGCGCCAGGTCATAAATGTTCTTGAGGATTCTAATGAATTTTGCGCTATAACCCAGCTGGTAGAGCCGAAGCCATAAATTTTTATGATTGACAGAATCGAAGGCACGCTTGAAGTCTACGAATAAAGCGTAGACTTTCCGGCCACTCAGCCTGAGCTGAAGCTGAATAGCAGAAAAAAGGGTAAAGATATTATCAATATACCCCATGTTCCTGACAAAACCTGCCTGATGCTCCGGAATGATCCCGCGCTCCGACACCCATGCCTCTAGACGATCTCGAATAACCATTGTAAACAGTTTAGCAACGCAATTAATCAAAGCAATTCCACGATAGTTGGATGGATTCGTTTTGTCTCCTGCCTTGTGCAGCATAGACATAAGGACCTCGCCCCAGGAGGGAGGAATAATTTCTGAAACAAGGATTTTGTTGAAAAAAACTGTAAGAAAAAAATATCCAGTTCCCAGGGAGAGCTCTCAGAAAATCGTTTGAAATCTCGTCGTTACCCGCAGCTTTCCCGGACTAACATTTATTTAAACATTTCATAATCTCACCCGCAGTAATTTCGCCATCCAAATCTTTATCAAAAACACCGTAAAAAGTATACCTCTCCTCCGGTCTAGGGGGAAAAATATTCTTATAGAAGGCGTACCAGTCAGTCAGCGAGACCTCAAAGACCACAGCCCGAAAGCCACGAGCATATTTGACTACTCCCCAGAAGGCTTTTGGGTCAAAAACATTAGCAAACATGTCCTTTATCTCCTCAAAGAATAACTGCTTCTTACAGTTAATTAAATTGTTATGTCTTTTACGTTCATCACAGAATTTTTCACGAGCCTCTACCTCAAATTTGGAGTTAATCATAGCATTTTTGGCTTTTATCACACTCAAATCCGATTCCTTACAATCTAAATCATACCAAGGTTTATTTGTCTTAGCCCTATCGTTGCGCCCATTAGGGAGCATACTGTACATATTCAAACTCAACGCAGCCTCGCCGATGGCTTGGCAAAAAATCTCATTAAGTTGCTGGGGCGAGAGAAGTGAAAAGTTGACCCCGACACTCTCCGACCACTCCATTGCATTTTGGAAATTAATTTTTAATTCAGACTTCCATCTAAGCACTTTCCGTTTGGTCGTGGGTGCAAAAACTTGAGGATGAGAAGTGGAGGGGGGAATGGAGATAGCGAAAGAAACAGGAAAGTGATCGGAAAGAGTGATGAACATGTCCACCGTTAAACTTTTTGCTCTGAAGGCATGAGGAACGTTGACCCAGACCAGGTCCACCGTGCTGGTTCCACCTCTCGCAACGTATGTGATATTACCCGGATAATCACCCAAAATCCGCCCATTTAGTAAGATATAATCATTGAACTCCATGAATTCTAACAACTCAAAGCCTCTCAGCGAGTCTTTTTTATGTAAGGAATTGCGATCGGCATAAAGAGAGGTGTCACCAAGCAGATCAGAGGGCCAGGCGTTATGGTCAGCAACCCAGGCATTAAAATCCCCCCCCCCCCAGAATACATAAATTACTTGGATATTTACATTCAATTCGTGAGAGAACAGACTGGAGCTTATCGAGTGCGTCAGCGAAGTCCACATCCTGGTTGAAGTACATCGATCCAATGATGAAGGTCAAGCCACCAATTGTAGTTTCAACAAAAATCCACCATTCATTCACATGAATGAGGGACTTTGAACAGGAGCTCTTGTCACCCAAGATCACCAGACCGCCGCTACCTCTTCCAGCAGAGAAGTTATTCGTTGCTGGCGACCAGAATTGGTGGTACTGTGACCAGCGTTCAGCCAGATAGAAGGGGATGGACGGTGCCCATGTCTCCGATAAGCAAATGACAGGGCTGCGTGAGTTCGTGACGAAATCGATCAGACGCCCAGGACCATTGGAGTTCCAGAACGTAATTGTGCTAAGTTGCTGGCTATTAGCGTTGCTCTGTGCCGTCCTCTTACCGGTGTCTTCCCGTGAAAATTTCCCTGTCCTGGCCCGTCGTATGTTGGAGCTTCACGTGGTGAGAGACGCTCATTAATTTCGTCCCAAACAAACCACTGGTCATCAATTTGAATTTCTTGAAATCCAAGACGAATATTCTTACCCTCCGCACGCCCTTTCTTGGCGGCGTCCCTGAGTGCTTTGGCAATACGGCCTTCTCTCTGTGTAAGAAGGCCAGCTTCGCGTCCCAGTTGCTCATGGTGACTCGAACAGAACTGCTATTTGACAATAACGTGACGTTGACAATGCTGTCAACAGCCTGAAATTTTTGATTTAGAAGATCTCGTGCCGTCTGGCATAATGTGTCAGAAAAGCCCCCCAAACCACGGATGATGAGGTTGAATTTCTTCTCTCTCCTTTCGTTGGTATCAAGGGTACTCAGAGCACTGGACAGTTTCTGCGAAAATTTCTCCTCAATAGCATTGATGAACTCAGCTTGGCAGGCACCGACGACGGCAGACACTTGACTATGGACTACGCACTTGATATCCTCAGGGTTGGATAGATTGTTGGCTTGTGAGGCCTCAATATTTTTCAGTCTCTCTTCCAGCAGAGTCCATTTTTCCGCATCCTTGGAATTGTATTCTGCAAGCTTAGCATCAAGCTCACCAGAAAGACGAATAATTTCACTTTTAGCCTCCTCTGTAACTTTGATAATTATCTCTTTTTTCATAGCCTCGGCCCTAACATCTGATTTGGCATTTAGCCTATCCTCCATATCCCTGAGAGCCACCAGGATTAGATCATTAGAATCTGGCTTTGGATCCATGTTTGAAGCTACCAACGTACCTTGGAAGACATTGATGGAGCCCAAAGAGTCTAAATTTGAAGAGGAGGGAGATGAGTTCAAAGAACCAGGAGAAAATTTGGCTTGTGACTCAAATTTAAAACCAAATTTAGTGAGCGAATTTTGAGAGTCACGGATTCTCTATTTTTCGGGCGTCTCAATGGAGGGAACGACTGTGGCACGCCTTTTAATAGCTTCTTTATTGCGTTTAAGAGGAGAAGTGTTTGGGAGTGATGATATCCTCTTTCTACCACGCTTACATGTTGATGTAGGGGTTGAACTGCGTTTCCATGTTGGAGGGGATGCAGAGATTGATGACGGAGAGGCACAAAGTGTCACATCTGAGTCTGAGAGAGTATCAGAGAGCGGGTCATCAACGAGGGGAACAGGAGAATCCGTTGATCTTGGACTGGAACGCACCAGCGGGATGGGGCTGTTTGTTGAGCTGTCACTGAGGATGCGTCGGGGCACAGGAGAGAGAGAGAGAACAGACTAGGGCTATGTGGTAATAGCACCGGAGACGGAGTGTAGATGAAAGTGGGCTGTTGAAGGTACGATACCGGCCGAACACATGAGCTATTACTAATATTCGGGTCGCAGTTGGCGCCACTCATACCCCACACCCACGTGACATCGAGAGAGATGGCTGCAGCTAAGAGCGAGATGCGTGATAACCACAAATAAACCACGCCGAAAGAATTTCCAGTTCTACAGTTTTTCTAGCACACCAGGAACCAGAACTATTATCTCACTCTACTCCATAACACTTTGCTTGCACAATGAAAACTAAAATCACACAAGAATTTACGACATTGGCAGTATTAAAGGTGAAAAAATATCAGAGCCCACACGGAACGATGCGTACTCAATCTGATCGTCACGTGACCCCCCTAAATAATTTTTCAACTATACTCTGCTATTTTTTTCCATTCAATTCTGTCAAAAATTCATTGAATTAGAATTTTTTGAAAACGTTCATTTTTGACAAATTTCACAACTTTAACATTTTTTTTTCTCTAAAACCTGACGTGCTAGAGGAATTTCGCAAAAACCGTTGGATTCAGCATGCAAAAATCTATAAGTGGTGTAAATTTCATCTTTGGTAAAAAACTTGACCTTATTTTGTTGTACCGTGTAGTTGCTTGCAAAACGATCATAGGATCATGCCATTTCCATCGTATCTATTCTTCTAATTGCCGATATTCCGGTGAAATATCAACATATTACTATAATTTATGCATTGTTATAGAATTTTTAAGGATCCAAAACCTCATTCAAGGCTTTTTAAAACCCATTTTACTATTATATCCATTACATTTATTCAAAGCGTTTGACCCGACTGAATGGAAATAAATATCTCAATTCACAGGTAACAGGGGTTGTAGGACGAGCAGAGACTCTATCCTCTCTATTCTACTTGGGTGCTCTGGTAATGTACACGAAAGCCTGCAAGAGCAAGCGAACGACAGGTAAACTTGATACAACAATTCAAATGATTTATCGTCAATTAACTCAAATTCACTCTTGCAGCATGGCGCTCAATGATGATATCAATGCTCTTCGTATTCATAGCAATGTTGTGCAAGGAACAGGGTATAACGGCAACTGCAGTCTGCGTTTTATACGAAATATTCGTAGTACAGAAAGTGAAAACACTGGATATTTTACTGGCGATTAAATCTGCTTTTGGGGGCAATAAAATCAATCCAACGTGGTCGGGGGAAGGTACTAAACGCCTTGCTGCTCTTACACTTGTAACATTCAGTTTACTAATTCTGAGATTACATGTTATGGGCTCCAGATTGCCTGTATTCACAAGGTAAATAGTTCAATTTTTGTGATGTTCATATGTATCTCCGTAGTAAATAGGGTAGTAACCAGTTGCCGATAGTTCACGTATGAATCAGTTTTACATGATTTCCTATAGGATTCCCTATCAGGTTTTTCCTGTTATATTTCCTACAGAATATCCTATGGGATTTTCTATAAATGAGGACCATATGGGGATCATGTAGGGCTCATATAGGGCTCATATAGTGGTCATATAAAGGTTATATGGAGGTCATACACGATCAGTACCTTGTGTTTACAAATTTTAGGCGGATATAGAATCGAAAATTGGGAATTCAATGGTACAAAAATGATCAAATTCTAATAATATACTTTCAAATGATACACATTGGAATTTTTCAATACTTCAGCCAATCAGGTTTCTATTGACTGCCGCCATGATTGAAATAGTTCAAGAACCACCGACATCGGTGGCCGAGTGGGCTAGACGCAAGTCTAGTGTGCAAAAGGTTGTGAGTTTGATTCCCCGTGGAACCGAATTTTTCAACGGAAGGCTCCGGTGAGCGGGAGGTTGGTAATAGAGTAACCGTCTGTACCGGCATGGATTTCCTGTGATTTCCCATGCTAATCCTATGTTGTAATCCTGTTCAATAGGAGTGCGAATGCGGTACAGTGTAGAATCCACAGCCGCACGCATAGAGTTGGATAGAGTGCCGAAATGAGATCCGGAAAGGGGACTCAAGAGGCCTTTAAAAAAAAGTTCCGGAACCAAAATGTTGCAATGTAAATTATAAGGGTCTAGGTTACGTTCCATATCAAATTATAAGCTCATTGCTAGACCATTAAAATTCATATTTCAACCTTTTGGTTCCTGGACTATCTATCAAGATCATGTAGGTCATGAAATTTTTGAAAATTTGAGATTCAACTTTAGCCACGTCCCCGTCCTGAATCCTAGGTAACACCAAGAGCTGGCAAGGTTTATTCGATCTTACTCTGCTATTAACGGCATAGTGTCATATGTATATCTCTATATTATTATATATCTATATTACCTCTACTTTATGAATTATAATAAATTATTGCCCTATGGAGGTGACGGAGGTGGGTAATGAGCCCGTACATGTATATGGCCACAGAAACTTGAACGTTGTGTCGTTACAGCCAGAGTAATCTCCTTATTTCTTACAATAGAAAACACCTTCCTGGGGCCATAATGCGGCCATAAATTGCATTCAAAAGAAAAATTTTAATCCAAATTCATATGCCATCGTTTGGAGTGCTAAATGCACTCCTCATCAGGGCAATCTTTATTTCATCTAACTCATCCACTCCACCTCCATATTCAAGATGTAGTGTCATTATTTCTTGAAAATAACCCAGCTATACCGGTTTTGTAGACTTATATCATGTACACAGTTGATTTCCACAGTAGATGCCTTTTGGCATGGAATTATATCATAAAATATGCTTACTTTCAATTTTGGTTGTACCAAAAATATAGTAAATTATTTCAAAATAATTCTTTTACTAATTGTTATTTAATAATAGTTATAAAATAATAATTCGGGCCAAATTATCGTTCGACTTAGATAAATCAAAAGAGATATTTTCAATAACAAAAAAAAATAATATTTATTTAATGCTTTCAATTATTGTTCGGACCTTTTGATGCAAATGAATATCTTAAGGCAAAATTATTCAATAAAAAAAATCAACGAAATATTTGAAAACAAAAGGATACAGAAGTTTCGTGAATGGAAGGCGTCACTTGACTGGCCACGCTCCCATACAGTCCCTAGAAATGCCATTTTCTTGGTTTCGTATTTTTCAAAAATCTTAATGAAACATAAGCCTTATTCAAAAAATATTCTTTTGATAAAATACTTCACAAAACTGAAGTTATTTTTGGAACCGAATGAATCTCAAAACTGAATAAAAATAAATGAAACTTATTTAATTTTTTACTCCCCAAATTGTATGAAAAATGGCCAAAATGGCTACATCGAGGCGGCTAGTGACGCTCCGGGGTTTTCCCCCAAAGATAAAAAATTCCAGATTTTTCTTCCAATTATTCTCTCGACTAGTAAGGATCCTCGAGTGCTCCAAAACTCCAAATGCCACTCGTTACCGTTTCCAGCAACGTAACCTCTCCCATCAAAACATTGACAACGTGAATCCACGATTCCATCCACATTCTCAAATATTCTTGTCTTCTCTCACTATTCTCACTCTCTATTTTTACATGAAGATATTTCTTATTCTCTTTACGGATCCAAGATATTCCATGATAATTCTTGGATGCTGGATAATTCCTGTCAACGAGACGGCACAGACAACTCTCCTCAGGATGCATCTCCAGACCATTTCATCTCGTCTTGAATACTTCTATGGGTCTCCGCGTTCTTCACCACCGAAATATCCTGGCCGATATATTCGGCAGTGCATCATTTCTTTTTTACTTCCTTTTTTCACACTTCCTTATGCAAATCTTAACTCCGTTGGCTCCGGGATAACTTATCTCTCTATATAAATAAAAAAATAAGGCGAAAAATTCAGGGGACACTTAAGTTCAGGGGACGCTTAAATTCAGGGGACGCTCAAATTCAGGGGACGCTGGGTGCCTATACGAGGAGGTGCGTGTATTTATAAGGGATGTCTATATGAGGGGGTTCTCATAAAGGGGATATCGATATTTATGGAGGATTACTATATTAGGGGGTGCTCATATGGAAGATGTTGATGGGTACGGTCACACTGCTGCGGTCACACGGACGGGAGGGGGGGAACGAGCGAAGCGAGTGGGGGGGGGGCAAAGCCCCCCCGGGTTGGCGAGCGGAGCGAGCAGGGGGCGAAGCCCCCTAGTTCACTAATACTTACAAATTTCCGAGGATATGTGGATAAAAGAATGAGAGAGTATACTCTCCTATTCAAATTTCTAATTAATTTCGTTTCACGACACATAAAAATTCATCATCATGATTTCATAATTCTTGTGCCATTGAATTGCTGATTTCCGATTCTATATTTCCTCACAATTGGTAAGGACGTTGCCGATATCACCTTGTGTACGGTCATATAAGGGTCATACAAGAATTATATTCGGGTCATGTGGGTCATATGGGAGTCATGAGGCGTCTTATGTAGATATTATGGAGGTTATATGGGATCATGTAGAAGTCATATAAGAGTCATGTACACAAGGGTCATGAAAAGGTCATATGGCGGTCATATAGAAATCTTACGGGTGTTATCTAGGCATTATATGACCCATTTGACCTCCGTATGAACCTTATATGACCTCATGGTCTCTGTATGACCGTCATGCGCCCCATATGATCCTCGTATAACGCCCGTGTGACCCCAATATTACCCTTATATGACCTCCATTTGACCACCATGTGACCCTTTTGTTAGAGTTCCGAGCGGTTGGATTCGGTAATTTGGAAGATTAAGACACTCGCGAACGAATACTATAATTATATCCTTTATTTAATTTCTTACTTTTTAGATACCATTCAAGTGTTCAGACTGATACGGAAGGTATCAGGTGAACCGCAATAGGAATCGAGTTACTGTCCCCGAGACAATGGTCTCTCGAGTATTTATTTGATCGAGAGCCCATGACGTCGTGGTCATTACGTGGTCATTACATCCCTCCCTTCTAGGGGTAAGAAAATTATCCGTTTGATAATTTTCTCCTCCAAGTCTACATGATTGAGATATTATTACTGGTACGATACATTTCCCTTTTACTATTTTCTTTTAACCTATTCGATGCCCGTTGCTTCAAGCGATGATTCTCTCTTAGGCGTCAGCCACGGTCTCCTTGATTTTTTATACCACCAGCGAATTAGGCATCCCGCAGTGATGAATGCAATCACCACTACTACAGTGAAAATTGATGACGGATGCGTTAGGTACTCGCGGTAGTTACGCATGTTCAGGCCCGTGCTGAACTTCTCCTCTTGCCCGGTCAGGTCCTCCTTCAAGGTCTCCAAGTGCACCTCCAGGCCCTTCAGCTCCTTTACATTCCCAATCACATTGGTCAGCTGGACATCGCTCAAGTTCTTTTTCACTTAAACGAGTTTTTCCGTGACGTCATCATCCAGTGTCAAATTCAGCTTTGGCTGGATGTGGGAATTCAGTTCCACTCCGATTGATTTCCGGCCTCTAATAGTGAAGTCCTTTGCAACCACTCCGCAGAAGTCCGGTATCTGTAGTACACCCGAGTCCTGAAGAACGTCTCGAGTTTCCTTATCTCCGCAAGTTATCGTAACACCCTCAGCCTCGGGAGCCACGTAGAACCACGCGTTGCTTTTCCTCATTTTTATCAGCAGCAAACGATTTAGCTGTAAATGCCTAATCATGCATACATCCGGTATTTTCTGTGGGTTCGAATATATTTGGACTTCACAAGGACTTGAGTCCCTTGTCAATTGTACTGGTAATGATTCAGTGCACAAATATTGCTCTTGAATCTCCTTACAGTTTTTCAGTTGCTCCGAGGTCATTGGCACATATTGTTGCGTCGGCCCATGCATTACCAGAAGTTCACTCGTTGTCTCCACGTATGAGTGAGACTCGTTCGATGACCGTACTGGAATCCCATGCGTCAGCATAACGTCGAACACTTGAGAGTCGACCAGTGGTACCTCCGTCAACGTGAGAATTTCCGTACCGAAGGCGGAAACACTGGTGGTTGAAACCTGTTGCAATCTGTACATTCCTCCAATTACTATCTCGAAGGGAAAACTCAATCCCTTCGGTAGTTTGGCAGTACGGAGATAAGCAACTAGGCTAGATTCCGTGAAAACTCCGGTATCGAATAATATCCCTTTGGAACCCGTTAAAAGTTTCTTTATCTTCTCAGCGTCTTCCCTAACTCCTCTGTAAATTGCTTCTAGGACTAACAGCAAAATCTCCTCATTCTTCCTGATGACCTCCTCCGTGTGACCCAACTGGAAGAGCGTTGAGTTCACGATTTCTAGTTATTTCCTGGAACTTTGNACCTGTGAATTCTCTCCT